GACATGAAAAAATGCATGAGATAATGCCGATTTTCTTCATGCATAATGCATGTACAATATTACATGTATAAACAATTAAACTGTGCATAGTCCTCTGCGTCTCTGCACTCAGTTTGATACAAATTAACGAACTTTGGTGGAAGTTTGCTGTTTAAGTAGTTTTAGTTATATACAGTTTTACCTTTATAAAAACGCAACAAATATGTAACATATGGGGCTCCTCGCTCTCTCTTAGAGGATGTTAACTCCCCCATTCCTTCTAGATCCACCACTTCATTTCTTCTCTTTCATTCAATGTTGAGATGTGGCGGGAAAATGTTTGGCATATTGTAACTAAAACGCGCTCTATCCTAGTCCCCTAGACCAACATTTCGTAAGATAATGTGCTTTTAAAAAATCTATTTTTTCTTCATATTATTGAAAAATATCCATAGGAAATGTTTAAATATACACTTCATTTTAAATAAATACAGCAAATCGTGTTTTAAAAAGAGAGAGTAAAATTGTTGATTTGCAACTGAATCTTTCTTTTAGACTATGTCTAACACTCGCACTAATTTTCTCCGCACTTCAGTTAAGTCAGAGTTTGTCAATCAGGATTGGATGAAATATTTACCCCATTATTTATAAAATTTAATTTTACGATTATTGTGCTTTTTCCTAAACATTTAGAAAATCTTTGTTTAATATTGATTCGCCGGCGATATGAATGTTAAATTTTTATTGAAATTGTTAACTCCGCAGAAACGCACAGCGACTTAAGATTTTCATATCAAATAACCGACCGCCACCTGGCGGCCGGTAATAAATGGGAATAATGTTTAGATAAACTGATTATTCAATGCCTACATATTTGTTATGTATTCAATTTCACTGAATTTGATCCTATTAGGGATTTAATACCTTCATCGAAAAACAGAAAGTGGGAAATACTTTGATATTGATTTGATGGTTTGATTTTGAACAAAAGATGTTCAAAATTATGTTCTACACAATATGCAACATTATCATTACTTTTGAATGAAAATCTCAGTCAAAATCTCATCTCATCTTATCAAGAATCGGACGGAAGACCCACTCGTTGCTCGCAACGAGATCGTATCTAGTTATTATTATTATTATTCTTTTTTTCTGCACAAATTTTGTGCAGAAGATTTCTCAGAGATGGTTGGATGGATTTGCTTCAAATTTTCAGGGATGTTGCAGGATAATCTGAAGTTTATACCGGCTGAAGGATTTTGTGAAAATCACTTCCGGTCTAGAGTTATCGCCCTTTTATCAAAATTCAGAGGACCTCCTTGTCCGTTCATTTTCTCGAAAACGGCTTGAGCTAGAGCGCTGAGAAATTTTCAGTGATGATAGAGGACATGTCCCCATGTTACTGGGAGTTTGGATAGTTTCCGGA